TTCGTGGCGGTGTTAAATCGTCATCAATCATTGTTACCATCTCATGTACATCGGTTTTGTTGGATGCTTTCGTTGAGTCATCAAAGTCAAAATAGCTTGCTGGTTTGGCAGTGGCTGCACTCTCGTGTGTTGTAGATTTCTCTGTCTTCTTTGTCTCTGTTTTGTCAATATAAAGATTACTGGGGCATCTTGATGGATCTGATTCGGGCAAACTAGACTGCGATCCGTGTCTTGGTATTTGTATCGGCACTGCTATGAGATCTGGGGTGCGGGACTTGATGTATTCTGCCGGAAGCGTTAAAGTTCGCTTCAGTGGTGATGTTGGGGTGACATCAGCCTGGTCAAGGACAGTCTGTACTTTCTGCGGCAACTGATGGCTAAGAAAGACAAACATAGTAAATGTATAGTAATCTTACTTTTGATATAAAAGTATAACTTAGAATATGTGTGATGTTCCAAACACTTTACCTCATTGCAATGATACCTAGCTTGGATGCTAGTAATATCTCATTATGCTATCTAGAATCCATGTAGTGTTGACTAATGACATGGTATGATAAAACTATATCTAATAATAATATATCTAATTACCCATTCAGATATATGCAAACACTGTATTAAAATACTAATTTGTTTTTCATTGGTCAATTTTGAAAGCTGCATAGAGAGAATATCAGACCATATAACATGGTCTTTTTGATAATATTTAGGATCAATAGCCAATCACAATTAACAACACTACTATTATATCTAGGCATTTAATAGTGGAGTGCCTGTGAAATGTGTAACTGAAACAATTTAGATAGACTTACTACTTTTCCTGCAAGAAAGTGACGTCTCCAAACGATTCTCCTTCTTCTATGCCAATGTGTACCAAATGTTGTATATCTCCCTGAGGCCGGCCAATCATATCACGGGTAACATGCCTGTAAAATCTCAGTGATTAGAGGGATGAAGTAGGTTTGAAAATGCACAAAAAAATAATTTGGAAAAAAAAAAAAATTTCCATCACAAAGTATACATGACCAAATTACTTCAAATTTGAAAACTATCCCAGGTCCATTCCAGCTTTACATGTCAGAAATAATACTCTTATTACTGAATCAGCCCACAATTTATATCAGTTTATATAGCTGAACAGCGCCATCTACAGTAAAGAACTATGTCTTCTCAGGTAAAGGATTAAATAAATCTCCAAGTAAAATTAAAGCTGCAAAGCAGTATTGTCAGATCCAAGTCTCAAGGCTGAAAGTAAAATATGTACCCATGTGAATAACACACAGAAGGGTTAAATCCTTCTGTCAACAGAAAACTGCAAAAATAATGAAAAAAAAATGCAATCCTTGGGAATTTTGAGTTCAAATAATATAATTTTTCAGAATAGACCATTTTCCGTTTACTGCGAGAATCACGCGTTATGCGTGAAATCGAACATAAAAACAGGACAAACAAAGGTCATAGCGTCGTAGTCGCGTCAAACATCGCGTGGGATTCGACAAACGCGAAAGTATTTCGGGGACATTTCCATGCTTAATAATGTGCTGTCCACATTTGATGATAGGCAATTTCGATTAAGTGAGGGTATTCGGAAGCAATATTCCTCTGTCGAAGATCGGCCGGTCAATGTAAGCTACGAAATAAAGAAATTCTAGTTCAAAATCAAATCGTTCGATTTTTGCGGCAGATGTTCGAAGCGCGTCTTTCATGCATCTCGCGAGATCTCGCAATTGTACGGAAAATCACCTATTACACAAACACTAACTATTGCTGTGTGCAGTGGCTGGCTCTTGAACAACAATGTTTTGTTGAACCTTAATACGCAATCGCGCCAATCAGCATCTGTATTTTTTGAAATAATATTGATCGAGATGGTTTTACATACACCAACACTATTGCAAATTTGAATCACCGCTAGGTGTATCTATTATGGATGCATGCTGGTTCCAGGGTCCATTTCATTTAAACATGGTTGTAAGTTTCAGATACTGTATTACATTTGGTCGTCATGGTTTTTGGTGGTTTAAAATTATTTCTGTGTCTCAGAATTCGCATCAGTTCAGTGTTTGTTTGCCATTTGTCAGAAATAATAAAAAAAACATGGCGGGGAAAAAATTATGTGACTGCTAACATTAATCTAAGATGGCTGCCAAATTAGTTGACCATGTTAAAATTCAGAAAGTAAAGTGCACCAGTTCCCATAGTTTCCAATGTGCTTGAGAAGTTTCAGAAGTTTATAGACAACAAGTTCTAGGGTGACAAAAAAACAGCAGAAGAAGAAGAAGGAAAATTTGAACAAAACCTAAAAGGACTTGAACTTAGTCAACTACTGTACTCATTGCAAGCTTCAGAAATAATGACCTCATTAAGGTCAAAGGTTAGTGACAGAAATAGTGACCCTATAAAGTCAAGTATCCTCAGTGCTCATTGCCAGCCACAGAACAAAAATCTTGTCTGTTAAATTTCTAACCAATAATGGGTCATTGAACTGATAAGGTGACCTACGACCGAATAAAGCATTACTGCTACATGCATAGTCACATGTTTTCAAACCAAAGTCAACATGTTATTTTGACAGTATTTATGAAACGCAAGAAACTCAAAGTAACAGGAAGAAAATATGTTTATTTAACAAAAAAACATCTTTGAATCATCGACTGCATAACTTGATTTTAATTCAAAATGCAAGAAACCAACAAAGTTGTTTATTTTTAAATTCTATAAAACAACCAATTACAGTTAAATAGATCAAGCAAAACAAAACAGAATTAGTTAATGTTTAACATTATATGCAGTTCAACATAAAAAAAAACTTAAAAAAAAATGACATCCCAAATGTAATACTGTGAAATACTTTATTTTCGCTGGAATTAATTTTCGCTGAAAAGGCTTTTTGGGCGTTTTGCTTGGAATTTATTTTCACTGATTTTCATGAATTTAATGTGAAATATAGGAAAAAAGTATATTCGCTGGATTTTATTTTCACGGAATCATCCCTTCAGCGAAAATAGCGAAAATAAATTCCAAGCGAAAATAAAGTATTCTACAGTATTTTGAGAAAATCACCAAAGTTAGTAGCACACACATACTAATACATAAACAACATGGCAATGCATCTATGTAACAGGATGGAAAATGTCAGAAGCTAGAAAACAATAAACCATTTTCTGTTTCCGTTATGCATGAAATCAAACCTTAAAACAGGACAAACAAAGGTCAAAACATGGTCGTGTCGTCAAAACTTTACATGTGCTATAAACATTAGATGATGTTTAATTTTACTGAAGTAATTGTATCTCAACGCTATATTCCAGTCTACAAGTTCACTATTTTGACATTGAACTATAAAAAAAGAAATTTAAGGCCAAAATCAAATTTAATTTTGCAGGAGAAGACCATTTCGTGCCTTCCATGTATTATGCAAGCTCTCGCAGTGTGGGGGAAATTCAACTATTACTATCAAGTTAACAATGCATCTTGTCACCAGATTAATATTTTTAACTAGTTACTATCTCTACAGGAAAGACCAGAAAACTTTTCTATCACCCTAATTAAGAATACCATTAATTTCTAATTAAGTATGCACGCTTTTATAAACTGACCGATTGTAAAAATTTATTTTCAACAAGAGAGGTGAAAATTTGAAAGCATTATATTATGTCTACTCAATCTAAATTTAAAGACAAGTCTAGACAATACAGGTATTTGTATGCAAGGGTGTTAAAAATTACATAATTCCCAAAATAATTATGTGCGTCTTTATACCCCACCCGTTGTACCATGACTCATTCTCTCATTCAGTACCACAATATAATAATATGAGATCCGAGGAAATCAGAACAGACAAGCACTTAAAAGTTAGAAGCTGGCCATGAAAGAACATATGACAATCATTGACTAACATCATCATAAGAAATAGATTACAACTCACCGTTTCTTCCCCATTTTCGATGGAGACCTTGGCTTTTCAGCTTTTTTGTAAATCTTAGCTTTGGCAATTTGCTGCTGTTGTTTAAGTTGCTGTTGTTCCTGGTGTTGTATATTACTCGGGGCTGCAGGGTCGTATGCTACAGTGTTGTTAGAGTTGAAGAGGCCTGTTCTACCACTCCCGATCACACCCTTCCACAGTCCGTTATGAGAGGTCCTACAACGACAAATATTGAGGTCAGCCAAGCAAACATCCGTGTGTACAGCTTGATTGTTTACACTTCCTGTAACTGATAACACATCCACATTGATTCACCAATGAATAAACACTTTACCATGCAGCAATCACATCCTTCCACCCTTATAAGGAATTAATTTGCATCTCATTAACATAAATTATGAGTAAGTTGCACATGTCTGGGCCCCAATTGTAACTATCACTTTGTTGTGTTAGGTAAACAGTTCATGTACTACAATGTGTCTATCCATGCTTGACCACATCTTCATGGCCAGCCTAGTTCCACTGAATAAACTGAATAAGATTGAATTTCCCCAAGCTTTACAATCTAATTTTAGAAACTTATTAAACTGAGTCTTCATTTCATTTGGGTGAAATTCTAGTCTTATCAGTACGGTATCACCAATCACAATTTAAATTAAGGAAGACAAATATTTCAATTTTGTTACATACTGTAAGGGTATGGCCATTAGAAACTTGAAGGGAAGATAATTATTTTTTTCCTACACAATTTTCAGAATGTTGCTATAAAAATAAAAAAATATAAATATAAACTTAGTTAATTCCTGTCATTTTGTCTATAGGAATTTTTTGTTTTTAAATTGCTCTCTGTACAGACCCCTAACCCATGCGAGTTTTTAAATGATCATCCCTAAATGATGGACATGATATAATGCAGACATTGTACACACTGCTAGCTGTAAGACTAAAGAGAAAGCAAAAGCAATTAATCTTGTGTAGTTTCCTTTCCAGAGGGATTTATGCAAGCCACATCAAATTACATCAGACAATCAAATCCACACATGTCATAACCTGCTTCTTAGGAATTCACCATTACAATCGCGGGGAGGAAGAGGTCTGTTTCAATAAAATAACACTATATTTATAATAATAATAAATTGATAGAGGAGGCAAAGAAAAAGCTCAAGACTAAGTGACGAAACAAATTTTATTCACAGTTTAAAAATCTTTTTTATCATCTTTCCGTCCCGAGTTTCTAAAAATCCACCCCTAACACTTAACAGAATGGAAAATCTATAAATCTTATGTGGTTTCCTGTGAGTTTTATACAAGCCACGTAAAATGACATCAGACAATACAGACGGCACATAATACAACTACTAAACACAACTATACAAAATAGTGACCTAATTCAGTGAGTGACATGAGATAGAAACCACGCTGAGATTATTTAAAGTGCTAATCTGACTTGGTAGACTACCCAAAGAATGAAGGAATTATAAGTGACTACTTTACTCCAGTACAAAGAAAGGAGTGTACTGGTCTGACCTAAATACTCAGTGGTAAAGTGGGCGTGGCATTGACTCAGTCATCTATGAACTTGGACAACACAGCATTGACCTTAACATGCACTTGAATAATTTTACTAACAGACTTTTGACTAAAATAATGGAAACTTTTGTTTTGATAGTTTAGTGTTGAACTACAACCTTCTTTGATGAACATTATAGAATAGAATATTGCTTTATTACAACGTTAACAAAAAATTGACAATTCTTTTTTGGGTTCCACACATGTAAAAGGGAATAAAGCTAAAAACAAAACAAAAAAGTGTGACAAACAGACAAACAAACAACAAACAAGAAAAAGTAAACTACTGTGTTAATATTATTTGCACTCTTATTGTATATGCTGTGTTATGTATCTAATTAAACTCAGTAATTATTTTCTAGTATGGGCATTTACAATAGATATAAATTTGCACAGCTACAAATTCAAAACAAACCCAATATTGTATCTCTAATAAAAGCACATGTAAATAATAAAAATGACATTTTTTGTAAACTGAGTAATTAAAAATTATGAAATCATCACTGTAATTTATATAAGCAGATACACTATACTGATGGAGTAAATATGTGTTTCCGGTATATATATTTTTCAGGAACAATTCTCATTTGAAAATAAAGTGTTAAAAAATAAACAGCATATTTCACACGATGAGCAGTATTTGTTTTTTCCTAGGGTATCGACAATCGATTGTTTTTTGTTTGAATTTAAAGTTACAATATTTGTATGTAAATATAAAACTCATTTATAACGTTATGATTATTATTATTAAAAAAATGTTGATGGCAATCTTTAAATTTTCAGAACTTTTCGTTAATTTCAGACCGAACATATAGTATAATGACAATATTTACTGTCATTTTACAAATTTCTGTGAAATTTGTGAGTCTATGAAAGTTGCAAACTTTTGTAACAGTGAAAATTTCTTCTGAATATTATGATACAGAGCATTAGTGACTTTCACGGGAGTCATAACATCCAGAAATTGAGAGTTTCTTGCAATGAATTAAAATTGAATGGTTTACAGTATTTGATTTGATTAAATAAATATCTTTTAGATAGAAACATGATAACATGGTGGAAGGTTATGGGTAGAGCAAGAGTAGCAGCAGAAACAATAAGCCACCAGGCTGCAGATAATGGCGTAAACCTCGGTTGAAGTTTAAATGTTAGTGAAAGGGTTGAAAGTGATTTATAAGGAATGTAATTCAATTATTAAGAGGCAATTGACAGAAAGGGGCTTAAGAGATGAGTCTAGCTGAGATCTTTAGAGCTACATTCACCAATAAAAATAAGAAAACTTTAGTTTACAATTATTTAGTTTATAGAGGTCTTAAAAAAAAATAGTCTAAACAGAAGATTGGGAAAAATGAGAAAACTTCAGTTTACAGACGTGTTTTTAATTTACAGAGGTCTTACAGAAAAAAATTGTCTAAACGGAACACCAATGAAAATGAGAAAACTTCAGTTTACAGAAGTGTTTTTAATTTACAGAGGTCTTACAGAGTGAATTGTCCGAACAGAACACCAACGGAAATGAGAAAACTTCAGTTTATAGAGATGTTTAGTTTATAGAAATCTTACAGAAAAAAAATTGCCTAAACCAAACACCAAAGAAAAAGAGAAAACTTAATTTTACAAATTTTGGTGTTTTATAGAAGTTTTACAGAGGTGTGTTTAGTTTATAAAGATCTTACAGTGAAAAGTGATTAAACATGCGCACATCAGTTTGAAAAAAATAATTAACAGAAATTTTTGTTTTCTATGCCTAATAATTGAATATTGAATAACAGGTAAATGATGAAGCACCTCAATTATCTGAGCTCCCTAGGCTCTGACATTTAATAGTCTGGACTCCCTAGATTGCGCTGAATTTGTTCGGATAATTAAATAGTTAGGATAAGTGATTAGATTACGTATGAATAAAACCATGATATGTTATGATGTTTCTCAGCAACTGAGGTTCTCTGTTATCACAGTCATTGTTTTTCTCAAAAATGATGTCTGTCACACAAACTATGACTCATACAAAGGGGGCCCGTGGGGTTTAAAGCAATGACAATTGATAATAATATCTAATGTAGTTTCCAGCATTTCTGGAATTCCTGTAACAATAATATTTTTAACTGCTCTCAAAAATATAATTTACAATAACATGCGTTTCTGATTGTTTTGACTGAATTTGATGATCCTTTGAATTTTCGTCTATGACACTGAGATTTCTGTATATTACACAATAATTGAAAATAATTAAAAACTTTTTTTTTCCATAAATTAATCATAAATCCAACAATTTGCAACATTCATTCCATGATAAAATTATTCAGCAACAGTTTACAATCAATTGTTTCACAACCATTCCACAATTACATTTATAGGGAGGGACTTACCTCATTGCTAAAACACTTATGACATCATTCTCCTTGTAACTAAGGAATTCAGCACTCGGAGCAGCAAAGTCAGTCAATGCTTTCATCTGCATCGGTCTGGCCTGAAAAATTATAAAAAAAAATGTTATTAATTTACATACACAATTAATAAGGGTACTTGACCAATCACACAAAACTTACGTGAATCTATAATTAGGTGAAAAAAACTGACCAATAACGAACAGTCCACATGAATATATTAGCACCTAATTACCTAGTTACATGTCATTAGCATAATCATGATTCCTTATATGGAAATCATTAGCATAATCATGATTCCTTATATGGAAATCATTAGCATAATCATGTTTCCTTACATGGAAATCATTAGCATAATTATGTCACAATGTATTATAAATTATCATGAGCTATAAACACACAAGTTTTGAGTTTCAAGAGAAATCTTGAACAGCTGTATTTTATGATAAACTACTCAATTTCATTGCAGGTGGCCACAGGAACTAGTTATTGTCCCATATTTTCAAAAGAGATTTTGTTGCAAATAAAGTAATTCAATACATAATATACTTAACAGGAATCTGACATCCTATCAATTCATGTGACTTCTCACATGTATCAATATCTTTATAGGCTAGACCATTTTAAACATTGGGGG